AACAAAAGTTAACTTGAGGGGGGGGGGGCAGGGGGAAAAATGCAACAGTGAATGAGTGGAAATCCAAAATCTCTGTAAATGTTCAGTAAAATCAATTTTTAAAAAAGTATTTGCAATGAAAAAATAATGTTAATATTCATTTTAGGTCCTGTATTTCTCATTTTAGTTGTTAACAATTTAGAATTTATGTTAAAAAGTCATGCGGCCTTGGGTATTTCTTTTTTTACTTAACTGTTTTATTTTGTTTACTTGTCTTCAATATGATTGTTAAATATTGTCTTAGAATAAAATCATAGTCTTTATTATCTGTTTTTCTTTGGTTTTTTTCAAGGGAAGGCGTGGAAAAACAGGACCCCCAGGAAAACCAGGGCCCCCAGGACCACCTGTAAGTAAAACTAGAATGACTGCCCCTTTCTATTTTCTGTGTATTTATCTTAGAGCTGATATATTCACAAGGCAATAATAATTTCTCTTACTATGGCTTTAGGATGACTTGTTTCAACACTGGAAGGATAATTTACGTTCATGAAGCTGTTCTATACTGCCCCCTCCTTCACCACCACCCATCAAGACTTAGGAGACTGATAGCTGTTCATGTGCTCCTTTACTGAGCCCTGGTGTCATAATAGGTTGGATGGCAGATTGTGAACTGAAAAGTATAATGTTGAAACTCACCGGCTGCTCCTTGAGAGAAAGATGATATAATCTCTTTCTATTAACATTTACAGCCTTGGAAGCCCAGTGGAGAGTTTGCATGAGTCAAAATTGATTAGATGACAGTTTGTAATTATATGGCATCAAATCGAAAACAGAAACCTGCCACTTTGGGGAAGGGAACAGTGAGTGCGTATTAATAGAGGAGGAACAACTCAGCAAAAGAGACTGAGCATGGTCATACAACTTGAAGAATGTAATCATATTCTTGTTCTTGTTGTGGTTTTTGTACCTTCGAGCCGGATCAAACTCAGAGCTGACCTTTTGGCAGGTTTCCATGCAAGGAGAATATTAACAATATTAACAATAACAAAATTAAATGGTTTTTTCCTAGAATGAGCTGCCTACCCGAACAGGCTTATGCCAGGTATTGAATGAAATGGATCATGTTCTGAACCCACCTGAACTCCCTCTACTCAGTTTCTCAACATCCAAGCTTGTAGTAACTTCAGCATCTAGAGAAGCAGATTCCCTTACTATAATGATATTCTATTAGTAGAATTACATAGAACGTTGTTTCTAAAAAGAACTATGGAGACCTTCTAATAAGTTATCTTATCTCTTTCCTTTCCCCCAGGGTTCTGGGGTGGGGGGAGGAGGGGAGAAGGTTTTTCATATTAACTATTACTATTACATCCAAAACTCATAGAATCAGCATCATGGGCTATTTTTCCAGATTATTTATATTAATTTACTAGACTACCAAGGCCTAGCAATTCCAAGATGTTCCTCTAACACTGCATTCTCCACCATCCTCAGAAATGATTGAATCGCCAGGCTCCTTTGACTTCATCTTACTTCACTTCAGGATTCTATCTGCACTCCCTGCTTGAAATTACTTGTTCTCTTCTCCTTGGACTTCTCTGTTTTCTTGATTCAGTAGCTTAGATTTCTGTCTTCTACCTATCAGGCCATCTTTCTTGTTCCCTTCATCCATAATTTTCCTTGTGTATCTATATACATCTTAAGTGAATTAATAACTCCCAGTGTTTTATTTCAGAGATTCTTCCAAGCTTATACATCCCATTGCCTATTCAATATATCCACCTGGATTTCTCCTAGGACAAAAGTTATATGGCCGAGGGGAGCTCTGGTGGCCTAGTGGCAAGGAGCTGCAACTACAATCCCAGAGGCTCATGGTTTGAATCCACCAGATGCTCTGCCGGGAAAGGAAGGACAATCTCCTCCTGTACCAGTCAGATCTGATTTGACGGTACACTCACACAAAAATTTTTTTAAAAAGTTATATGGCCGTGATTAAACTCTAAAAATAATCCTAGGTTTTCTTTTGGGTTGTATGCATTTATTGTGGGATGTGAATATTTCACAGACAATTTGTTAATGAGATTTTTTCATTTTTTAAATTATTTTAATTTTTTTCTTAC